CTCAGCTCGCCTCCGGTACACTTTAGTCGAAGAAGAGACCGTTACCTGGTGATGATAGATCAGCTCGATAGGGAATCCTCCAGACCTTTCAGCGTCTCCGTTGAGAGCTGCTGAAATCCTTAGATAGTCGTGCGTGGGTTGTTCAAACAGAAGTTATAATTCCAAACGTCTCTGACTCTCCTGAATTCTCGAATTCTCTTCCATTCACTTCACCATTCTCCATGAATTCCCCATGAATTCCTTCAGAACTCCTCGAGAACTTACTTGAGAACTTCTTGAGAACTAACTTGAACTGGGGAGTTGCCACATTTTAAATGGGTCGACTTCCGGTTCAATTTAGAGCTTTCCGATTCGTGGATGTACCAGAAAGAGGTGTGGTGTTTGACGTAAGGTATTATCAAAAGTCGAGGTCAGGGAATGAATTTGTTTTCAACATACAGAAAAGATTATTGCAGAATACCAGACTTTTTGGAGCCTCACTCTGTTGTATCTTTCCAAATAGTAAAACATGACATCCCTTTTTCAGTAAACATTTAGTTGACCGAAGCTTCAACTTTCACATACTTACGACTTGGCTCATTTCAGACAGAAAATCAAGAAATGCATATTCAGGTGATTTCTTCTTTGAATGAGGAATAAAAATCATTACTTACTGTTTATGTAAAATAAAAATGAGTAGTTCTTTTCAACCTGTAAGCATTGAGTGAAACTAACACAATTTGATTATCAAACATTTGTAAGACAGTAATGATTATAAAGAATTGTCTTTTCTGCTTGATTAATTCAAGAAAGAAAGTCATCAGATGGCTCAGACTTATTCAGATCAATGAAAATGACAGTCTCTGTCCATCTGGTAGATTTGAGGTCATCAGGGTCAGATAAGGGTCAGACCAGGTTCACTACACAGTTATGAGCAAATAAAAACTAATTAGTTTTCAAAAACTTGAAAAGAAGTGATTGGAAGCACACAATTAAGTTTCCTGGAGCTCCTTAATCCTCAGTTTCCCTTAGAGAGTTATACAAACTGCTCATAAAACAAATTATAGTATGAGCTTGGGTTGGTCAGAGGCAACGAGCCATTTGTTAAAATCTGTTATTGTAAACAACTAGTTCGGATCTGCTATGGTAATAAAAAGATTTGCAGAATGCTAGCTTCCTTTGATTTGATTAATATGTTTAATACTCTAAATTTATCAAATGTTTAAAGCTTCATGAGTTTCCATAACAGAAATGTTTTTAAGTATCTCGTAAACAAAATTCCTGAATGTTTTTTAATGTGACAGAGTCATTGTCCAGAGTCAGCACTCACTATTGTTTTCCAGATTTTTATTTCCCTACCTTTTTGATTGAAATGCAATAATCCAGACATCTGTAACAATAAATCACATCAGTTGTAACTTTCTGCTTGTGGAAAATGTTCTCCCAAAAAGGGGCGTTTTTGCTTATTTTATTGTTTGTGTTGTAACTTTAAAAGACAATTGTAATTTGAAATGGGCAGTGAATACTTTAATTTCAGTTAAAATGGTCAAATTTGAAGAATTTATGCAGTATTTTCTAGATTAGGGGCTTTTTTCAACACATCAAAAACATGAAACAGGCGACAACCCTAAATTAGTGGCAGTTGAGATTAGTCCTCATTAAGACAACTAATTAAGGACTGCTGGAATCAACAAAATATTCAATAAATACCAACAAATTCAAAGGGTGCTTTTGCTTAAAATGCTCTACTTGTGAACTTAATCTTATCAGGTCAGAAGTTTTTGAATCCATTTTAGAGAATGGTCGCTTGAATATGGAAGCTTTCTATGAACAAAAAGATAAATGACTCCTTCGTGAAACTTAAATTGTACTTTCATGTTTAAAGTAATCCATTCATTCCTGCTTTTTCCTTTCTGATTCATGGGAGAGCTGGCGCCTATTTCCAGCAGTCCTACTTCTGTATATTTTGTGCTAATTTAGCCTGTCTAAATTAAATATTACCATTATTATATTAAATTTAAATATTAAAATATTCAGTTTATTTATGAGATGGGTGCTATAGCTCTTTTAATTTTTTTTAATAACTTTTATTCTTTTCAGAATACTTAACCTAATAAATATTGTCACAGTAGAAATACATTGAGATGTAGTTTCTTTGAAAGCATTGTTCTTTTTTAAATCTGCTTCAGCATACTTGGCCTGTTTTTGCCTTCTCGTGCTACTTTTAGCATTTAGCTAGTCTTTTGCTACTTTGGCTTTTAGCTGGATTTTGCCTAGTTTTTACTTCTAACTAGCCTTTTAAGAATTTAAACCAGCCTTTTGCTACTTTTAGCTAGCCTTGTGTTGTTTTTTGATTTTAGCAAATCTTTTGCAGTTATAAATGTTTAGCTAGCTTTTTTTTTTTTTTTTTTTTGCCACTTTTGGCTTCTTGTTAGAATGTTGCAACTTTTAACCTTTAGCTAGGTTGTTCCAACCTTTACAAACCTAATGCTGCTTTTAGTTAGCTTACTTAACTTTGATACCTAGGTTTTAACTAGCCTTTTTGTACTTTTGGCATTAGTGAGGGTTTTATTTATTTATTTATTTATTGTTGTTGTTAGCTTTTAGCTAGTGTACTGCTACTTTAAGCTTAACAACTCTGGGTTAGCACCTAAAATTTGAACAGCATTTCTGTTGGAAATACTTATTCTCTAGGACTGTATATATTTAACAGGTCTCTCTTGTAAATGAGTCCCTGAGGCTCATTGAGTCTAACCTGTATAAATAAAGGTTGAACGAATATTTATAAGACAACTGCTGTATATTTCACAATTATCCCCATCAGAGGGATACAATTAGTTAAAAAACAGTCTGCACTGGTCCACCCATCAACAAGTGAGGAGTGACACATGGCATCACAGGTTTTCAACATTTGTTTCATTGTATCTGTCATGAGTTTCATGACAGACGTCTGCAAGTTTAGTTAAGCCAAACAGTGTGAGGGTCAGCAGCCCCCAATGACCCCCCATCTGCTCACGTCTCTGCTCCTCATGCCACGTTTCTGCCCATGTCACCTGCCCCCTCCTGCCATAGTTTCTGCCCCTCCTGCCATAGTTTCTGTGTCCCTACTTTGTTTTGTCTGCCACCCATCTCTCAGCTCAAGCCTGCTCCTGTCACTCCATACCACGCCTCCCTTGCTCCTCCACAGCAATCAGCCCTGATTCCACACACCTGTTATCTGCACTATTTAAGTCATTCACTTCCTTGTTGCTGAATTATTATACCTTATATGGTTCCTAATATCAAGCCTTCATAGTTTCCTGTTTCATGCCACAACCTGGACTACCTTGTTCCACCTCACGCCTGTACCACAGATTCTTCGCCTTGCCTGCCCCTCTACAGATTTTGCCTTCTCTCTCAGACCACAGTAACATCTCTGCCTTCCTCCTTCTACGCCTATGGATCACGACTTGGCTCTGGTTTCTGTTCTCAGCTTCCTTGTGCATGACCCCTTCGTTTCCCGGACCTTGTATTTGGATCTGCCCCCACGTACGGCAGCTGCTCTGCTCCGCTGCCAGTGACATCATCGCTGCAACTCTGTCAGATGACTCCCTTCCTCCAGCTTGTGAGGACCTGTCATCTCAGTCGATCCTGACTCCTTCATCCAGCAGCCAAAATAAATAAAAAATATTCTTTTGAACTCCTGTGTATGGCTTATTCTGAATCCTATGCTCGAACCTGACAAACTTTTTAAATTTTGCATTCCTTTTTCCAGGTGTGAGCTTCAAGTTAACTTTTTTGGGTTTTTTTTGTTTGTTTTTTTGCTCATGATGGTGAAAATAATTCTGATTGCATGGGAAAAAATTCCCATAGCTGTGCTCACCAAAAATATAAACGACATCACAGATATTTAGTTGGACTAATGACAGCTTTGATTGCAGTGTACATGTCCCAGAGGCAATGTTTAAAAAGGATTAGAGTGTAATATCAACATTTATTTCCTTTCAGAGCTAGATTTATTTTTGTCAAGATCAAAGTCAGACAACTAGGATTTACCCGGGCAGTGGCTCAGAGCTCCGAGGTTAAAAGAAACCCAAAACAGTATTACTGTAACCATTATTATAAACACTTATAAGAAAACATGAACAAAGAGAAACAGAACCCAACAGAATGATAATGCAGCTATCTGCTTTGTGTCTTTGTACACTCATGCAAGCACATTAATCCCCCCCCCCCACACACACACGCACACACACCACCTGTATTAACTTCCTTGCTGCAACACAAGCATGAACTCCGCCTTTGCAAGCACATGCACAGAGGAGGAGACACACACACAAAGAGGGAGTGGGTCACCTCGAAGGCCTGGAAACTGAGTCCAACATTGTATCCCTCAGACACAGTAATCCTCCACACACACTCTTTGGAGGGTCTGTAGTCATCCGGGTAGTTGGGAGACTGAATCTGGCCCGAGTCCTTGGTGATTTCCCCTCCACAGATGGCTGAACGAAAGAGGAGAGGGAGACAGATGAGACAGGATGAATTAACATCAACCACACGAAACACATTCTGAGAGCATATTAATAATGAAAATCCTAAAAGAAGGAACACAAACGTCAACAGGTTTTCAATTCAAAGCTTGTTCCATCCAACAGTGAGTTTTCCAGTGTCTCAGCTTTTTGGTCTATTTTTATGGGAATTGTTACCTTCATAAACAGCAGCAAAGCCTTTTCCCACCCAGTTGCTGCTGCTGCGGAACTCGATCCACATTCTGCTATCGGTTGAAATCAGATTGTCAGGAATTTTGTCTCCACAAAACCTGCCTGTAAAACACACACCCAGAATAAAACCCAACGAACCATTATATCTGCTGTTAAGAAAATACTGTGTTCAAGCACAATTTGATCCATTGTTGTAAAAGTGTTGCTTCTAGTTAAGAGTCGATGTTTCAGTCAGTAATCCCCCTGAGTCACTTCAGTTTGTTCACAGAATAAAAATCTTTAATATCGTGAATGTTTATGAAGCATTCACTCAATTATGATCCATTTTTCTTCCGTACGTTTTTTGGCGCAATTTTCGTCCCACAATTTTCAAGCTATTTCAGCAAATATATCAAAGTCTTTAAGGACAAACTTTCTATGACTTTTGATATTGGTGCAGCTTTAGCTTTTTGAAATATTTAGCCGTTTCTGTCATTTTGTTCTCATAGAAAATTAATTGAGCTCATTTTACATCCTTCAAATCTTTAGCTCTGTTTACAACCTTTTACTGCTCCTTTCACATTTTGTTCTGGTTCAGCTTCTTTCAGCTTCCTTGTGCAAATTTAAGCTTTTTCCCAGCTATTTTCAGCTAATTTTAGCTGTTTTTTCAGCTGCTTTGTGCTCTTTTCAGATTATTTCTGTGAACTACAACATTTTTGTGCTCCTTCTAACTTATTTCTGCTAATTTCAGCTTATGTTCCTTTCAGCTTATTTCTGTATGTTTCATCTTGTTCTATTGTTTCAGTTACTATTTAGCTGTTTTTCTGCTAATGTAAGTTTATTCAGCTAATTCAACATTTTTGCACTCATTTCATTTTTTTAAGTCCAATTCAGAAAAAAAAAAAATTCTCTCTCCACTTCCTTTTTTTAACGTGCTTCTTTTTGCTTTTTTAGCTGCTTTTCAGCAATGTTTTGCTAATTTCCGCTATTTTTCAGATATTTTCCATTTTTGTACTCATTTCTGCTTGTTTTAGCCTAATTGGGCAAATGTGTGTTATTTCTGCTAATTATGAAAATTTTAGCTTCTTCTACCTTTTCAGCTACCGTTATAGACTTTTTTAGCTAATTTAAACCGTTTTCCGTTCAATTTAAGTTTTTCGTGATAATGTCTGCTACTTTCAGGCTAATTAACTTCTTTATGCTAATTTCAGCTTGTTATGTTCCTTTCAGCTTATTTCTGTATGTTTCATCTTGTTCTATTGTTTCAGTTACTATTTAGCTGTTTTTCTGCTAATGTAAGTTTATTCAGCTAATTCAACATTTTTGCACTCATTTCATTTTTTTAAGTCCAATTCAGAAAAAAAAATTCTCTCTCCACTTCCTTCTTGTAATGTGCTTCTTGTTGCTTTTTTAGCTGCTTTTCAGCAATATTTTGCTAATTTCAGCTATTTTTCAGATATTTTCCATTTTTTACTCATTTCTGCTTGTTTCAGCCTAATTGGGCAAATGTGTGTTTTTTCTGCTAATTATGCAAATTTTAGCTTCTTCTACCTTTTCAGCTACCGTTATAGACTTTTTTAGCTAATTTAAACCGTTTTCCGATCAATTTAAGTTTTTTGTGATAATGTCTGCTACTTTCAGGCTAATTAACTTCTTTATGCTAATTTCAGCTTGTTATGCTCGTTTTAGCTTTTTTTTTTGTTTCTGCTATTTCAGTTACTATTTAGCCGTTTTGTGCAAATTTTTGCTCTTTCAGCTAATTCCACCTTTTTTTGTTAACTAATTTCAGCTCTTTCCACTTCATTCTGGTAGTTTAAGCTTTTTTCTGCCTTTTCAGCTTCTTTTCAGCTATTTTTACCAATTAGCTGTTTTAGCTAATTTCATAGTTTTTGTGCTCATTTCTGCTTATTTAACTCTTTTTTTGGAAAATTTGTTCTTTCTGCTTTCTTCTGCTACTTTAGGCTAGTTCTTCATTTCATCTACATTGCAGCTTGTTGTTTTTTTTAGCCAATTTCAGCAGCTTTTCAGCAGGTTCTTCTGCAATAAGAATTTACACTGCATTTTTGCAGGAAATGCAATTTCTCTAGGTAAGTTTTTTAAAAATATGTTTTACACTTTGTATAACAAATGGATAAAACTATTGTGCAAAGATGAAGCCGTGTGTGTACACCATCCACTGCCATCTCCTTCTGGCTAAAGCTCATTTAAAATGAACTGGTCTGTGTTCAGATGAGCCAAAGTTTGAAAAATTATTATTTATTTTTTTAACTATGGACACCACATCCACAGAGCAGAGAGTAGAGGAATCATCCAATCTATTATCAGATTACAGTTCAAAAGCATGCCTCTTGAATGGGTGGGGTGAGAATGGGGGGCATTGTAAGGGCAGCTTAGACATCTGGAAAGGTACAGTTAAAACATAAATGTACATACATGGTTTAGAATATCCTGATGCATGCTCAATAATCCAGGTAGAAAAATCTAAAAAAGTTAAATCTAGTCCTCTGGACATTCAAAAAAACAAAACAAAGCAAAACAACAAAAAAATGTAGAAACCTTTCAGTCTCTCATCCGAGAGACTTCCTCAGTCTGAGGAGCTGTATTCAGCTCAGTCTCTTAAATAGCACCTTCTCAGAGTGGATCAACCAGTTTTGCTGCTGACAACCAAAACCAGCTGATCACATGCTCAAGAAGGACCATCAGCCTAACAATGGGTCATTAGCACACTGATGGCTGTTTACTACTCACAGAGGGCTGAGTGATACTAGCAATCACAGCATTGTAAGAGGGGGACAGTTGAACCCGGAGGCCTCCACCCCTGTTTAACGATGGACGATTTCTTTTCACAAAGATGGCCTCCTTTACTTCTCTCTCAAACCATCGTTCCTCTCTGTCCAGGATGTGAACATCTTCATCCCTGAAAGAGTGACCGCTGGCCTGGAGATGAGTGTAGACCGCAGAGTCCTGGCCTGATGATGTTGATCTTCTGTGCTGGGCCATCCTTTG